GGAGGCGGCTGGTATTCTCCGGGGAATCGCTCGGGACCGCGCAGTCATCATCGAAATAACGGAATAACTCCTACGCAATATGCAGAAGTTCGGAGTAATATAAAGAAAAATGATGCCACCCCCTTTTCTCTCTGAACCCTGAGGACACCGCAGGCAAATCATAACTGGGCCTGACGTGCAACGACCAAGGAAGGAAAAGAGCTATGTAAAATTCACATCCCCCCTTATTCCTCTGCACCCCTTTTCGGTTTCATCTTCCCTTTCCACCCCTTCCATTTTTCCATCTTTTCTTATCGCCGGCGGCAGGCGCTTTCTTATCCCCCCTTCACCCCGACCCAAAAGGGAACCGATCGAGAGTGAGACAGGGGCGCTCACGGGACAAGCCCTTGCATTTGCATGAATAGGAGTGAGGGTGTGTGTGTACCTGACTTTTTAAAAAAGTAGGGGGAAAAAATGGCCCTGAGGCTCTTTTCCCATCAGGAAAGGGGATATGTTGTCCGCATGTAACCCCCATGGGTGACCCCGGCTGAGAATTTCGACCGAATAAGCAAATGAAGTTTTCTTGCAATGCGAAACAACCGCGAGAGGCAAATACAAAGCAGCTAAAACCTCTCCCGATTGGATATTCCTCAAATAAGAGCATTTCTACATGTTTGACAGAAGTAAAATTGTTCTCCAATAAACCGCCCGCATAGTTTTGCCATAGGAATGAGCTGAATCGAATTTTGCTGACTTTTCATGAATACCGATTTATTTAGAAATGCTGGAGAGGCATTAATAAAATGGAAAGATTTCTTAGGGACTTTGAGGGGGAATTTTTTTTAGAATATGCAAAAGTTTAAAAGTAATACAGAAATGGTATTTCGGTAATTATTATTTTCCTTAAAATGAATTAAATACTAGTACTTCATTTACGGGTATTATCATAATTAAACCGGCAAAAAAATGTCAACGCTTTTTTTTAGTAAACTTGTTGGCGTTTATTTTCTTTTTTTTCTACTTTTAGTTTATATTTTTGAAAAGTTCTTTTTTTTCTTTTTTCTTCTTCTTTGCAACACAGCTAGGATAATATTGGAAACGTTTCAAACAATTTTGAGAAAGTGCAAGATCTGGAGTAGACAATTAAAAACAAAAAAAACAAGAGATTTATTCGAATTTTTTAAGGGTAACAGATTTTGAAACTTTTCCATACAGTTGATTTTGTGGAATTCAAACAGAAGCATTTTGTTTAAATTTATAAGAATGATCTTTTTTTTAAAATGGCTACTTTAAAGCAAACCTTCTGACTATCCTGTGGTTCAAAGCACTTCCTTATTTAATAATTAACCAATATCGTCTTTGTGTCGCATTTTAATCCACATTTACACATATGTGTACGTTTAATCTTTTAGTTTCAATGTTTAATTGCATTGGCTACACCACAATCTGCTTCCTGCAGGCCATATGTGGCTCGACGATTGTTGATGTGCTACCCACAGAAGCTTCCACACACAATAAAAAAATTTTTTTTTGAAAAATAAAAAATTTCGAAAATTTTGATAAAAAATTATCATAAATATTTATGGAAAAACACGAAAGTGGGAGGCGGTCAATAAAAAATATTACGATCAGGGAAAAAAACAAACAAACACAAATTAGACTCGTCGAAACATTTTTTGAACTGGGCAATAGTTTTTTGGCGAAATGAAAAATTTTAATTCAAGAGATCTTCCTATTACCACATTGAAGCATTTGGTTTACGAACCTCATTTATTAATGAACTTTTTAAGGNATCGAAACATTCAACCAATTTTTCTTAATTTCATGACTACTGTATTCAACATATTTTCAAAACTATTGTTTACCATGTTACCAGCTGCATAAATACTTGAAACTTTGAAAATAATTTTTTTTTATTATAACAATTTATGTCCGATGGCCCATTGACTTGAAAAAATATTCTATACATATGAAATTGACAGTGGGCGGGGGTACCCGTTGGGTGGGGATACCCGACTTTCCCCTACGTAGTTGGAAAATGTGATTGACACTAAAAATGACTATCAGGAGGATTTCATGGGAGGTAGACAGGATGAAAAAAAAATAAATAAATAAAATCAGGAAGACTTCTCGCGAATTATGATATAAGTCGTCAATCGCGTCTAATTACCGGAAAAAAGCGAAGCAGTTATAATGATTTAAGACTTGCGATTTTACGAAAAGTATGTTATCAATTTCCTGCGTTACTTATCTCTGTTAGCTGTGAAAAAGAGTAACGAAATATCAGTTGCATACCTAGCGATGCAATGCAGGCTTATACCGATGGTAGTCGTACAAAAGACCGTACTGGTAGTGGTATTTACATTAGGGCCCAACGTCTAGAAAAATCATTAAAGCAACGCAATCCAGACACTTGCTCTGTCTTCAGAAGCGAGTTAATAGCGATTAAGGAGGGGCTTGTAGCTATCTTACCCTACGACAGTGATTATGGAGAACTCTGGATTTTATCGGACAGCCGCAGTGTCCCTACAGCATCCTAGTAGCTGGTCCTCTGCAAGCGATGAAACTAGTATATCTATCCTGATCTAAAAGATTTCTCAGCACCATGACGTACATCTCCAATGGATTCCACCACATGTTAATATTGGTGGCAACGAGATAGAAGATAGATTGGCCAAAGAGGGCAGTGAGGAAGATATGTCCACCGGGTCATCACTTACTTATCAGGAACTTTACTCCAATGAAAAATATAGACAAAAATCAATCTGGCAAACTCCACCCACGCACCAATGGTACACCGCAACATCTCCTGGCACCCTTCTGGGAATCAATTGCGATCGAAGCTTCCAGACTGCCTTGGCAAGTTTCTCATCTGGTCACCTAAAATGTCTAACATTCGAACGTGGCACAAAAATTTACCCGACTTGTAAAAAATGCTGTGTCCATCCAGCCTCACCGGACTATCCAGTGCGGACTTAACTTCCGATCCCCTTCTTGTGATCGACAATCTGGCTGTCAACAACTTTTTGGAGTTGATCTGCCTAATGTCAGATCTATGAGGATAAGCAACAACAACAGAGTAACACTGGCTTTAAAAAGTTATCACTATTCTGCCGCTTTATTCGGTACAATATTAATATTTGTCAAAATTTTTGTTCAATATGTCTGAAATTTTAGTACCAAATTTTTTTAGAGTACCGCATACAAATAACTTTACTCATATTTATAAAAATACCTGTTCAAAGTTATAATTTCTGATTGCCCCAGTGATGGGTAAATTGCCTTTAAAAGTTTCCATTAATGCTAAGTTAGAATATTTAAGTTCTTTTTTTTAAACGATATATATGGGTATTAGGTATTTCAAAGCAATCTTTGGAGCTATCTGGTGTGAGGTATTGGGTATTAGAGGAGATTTATATCTTATATGACTATCAACAGGGTGCGTAGCCAAATCTTTCAACAAAAAATAAGCACCTTTTAAGTACTTCTTAAGCATTCAAAAAATATATTTAAGCACTATATACATTAAGAAAATGCAAAATAATTTTCAAAGACCTTACATGATCACGATAAAATAACTAGTTTCTGACAGAGAACTCTTTTCGTGATTATATTAGCCACCTTAAAGACCTATTCGAGAGAATTTTCGGTTCGAAAAATGAGCGTGGAAATGAAGTAATTGAGCATATCTAGCAAAATGCAGCAGAGTTACACATGAGAGTGCTAGAATTTTACCGAACTCAGCTCAGTAGACGCACGTGCGGACTCGCAAGTATTTCATCAAACCTGTAAAATGATTGCCGCTTTCATACGCTATGGACCGACGGAAGGCCGAAATGGATTGTGGTTGAATGAATCGTGAAAATGTTGAACAGAGCAATGTGAAAAGCACGCTTTCGCATGTTACGTGCCGAAAATCGACAGGGTAAAGAAAAAAATCTTATTTTCGAAAAGAAAAAATTAAGCACTTTTTTAAAAACACCCCATGAAAAAAGCACCTTTAAGGGCTTCTAAAAAACGAAAATCGAAAAGAAGCACATTTAAGCACTTTTTAAAAGCGCTACGCACCATGATCAAGAACTGTCATAGAAAACAAAAAAAATTATGTATAAAAAAAGTAGTAATGATATTTTTTCTTTAGCAATAAAAAATTGTATTTTAAGCACATTTAAAGGTATTTTTGAGCTAATTTCACATGAATTTCAGTCTGCTTTTTATTTATATTTTTGAAAAGTATTATTATTTTTTTTGGCAACACAGCTAGGATAATATTGGAAACGTTTCAAGTGATTTTGAGAAAGTGCAAAATCTGGAGCAGACAATTAAAAAAAAAAAAAGAGAGAGAGAGAGAGAGATTCGAATTTTTTTAAAAGTAATAGATTCTAAAACTTTTCCATAGAGTTGATTTTGTGGAATTTAAACAGAAACATTTTGTTTAAATTTATAAGGAGAATGATCTTTTTTAAAACGGCTACTTTAAAGCAAACCTTCTGATAATTCTATGGTTCAAAGCAGTTCCATATTTAATAATTAACCAATATAGTCTTTGTGTCGCATTTTAATCCACATTTACACAAATGCGTACGTTTAATCTTTTAGTTTCAATGTTTAATTGCATTGGCTACAGCACAATCTGCTCCCCACAGGCCATATGCGGCTCGACGATTGTTGATGTGCGACCCGCAGAAGCTTTTACACACAAAAAAATTTTTTTTGAAGAATAAAAAATTTCGAAAATATTGATAAAAAATTATAAATATTTATGAAAAAAAACACGAAAATGAGGGGGGGGGGGCGGTCAATAAAAAGTATTACGATCAGGGAAAAAAACAAACACAAATTAGACTCGTCGAAACATTTTTTGAACTGGGCAATAGCTTTTTGGTGAAATGAAAAATTTTAATTCAAAAGATCTTCCTATCACCACATTGAAGCACTTGCTTTACGAACCTCATTTATTAATAAACTTTTAAAGGGATGAGAAGTTAAACTTAGAAGGAAAATTTGAATGAAAAACATACCTGTTCTAAAAGTGTGACTAGACACGTCATGATGTCTTGCTCAACCATTGCTTCAGACACTATATAGTCGTTGCAGACCGCAATATTCCTGAAAAAAAGAAATAAAAATTCCAATTAGTGCGGACTCTACAAAGATTAATGTTTAATATATCCTAACACGGAAACAATATGGTAAAACAACACAGGGCAAGCAATTCTTTGTTCATGAGCAGCTTTAAAATTGTATAAGTGTTGCCCAAATAAAAAAGTGGCACGTGAGATAGAGTCAGAAATTCAGTAAGAATGGTAGCATCACCATCAGGGTGCGTAGCCAAATCTTTCAACAAAAAATAAGCACCTTTTAAGTACTTTTTAAGCACTACTATATACATAGGCAAAATGCAAAAAATTTTCAAAGATTTTACATGATCATGATAAAATAACTGGTTTCTGACAGAGAACTCTCTTTCATGATTGTATTAGCCATTAAAAAATGATCAAAAGATTTTCCAGTTTTATATCAGAAAGTGGAAAATGAATCTCAAAATTGAGAATAGCTTGCAAAATGCAGAGTTACACACGAGAGTGCAATAATCTCTCCGAACCCAGCTCAGTAGGCGGACATGCGGACTCGCAAGTATTTCATCAAACACGTAAAATGATTGGCACCATTATAAGCTATAACCGACGGTACGCCGAAATGGATTGTGGTTGAATGAATTGTGAAAATGTTGGATAGAACAATGTAAAAAGCACGCTTTTGCATAATTACTGGTGAAAACCAACATGGTAAAGAAAAAAAATCTCATTTTCCAAAAGGAAAATTAAGCACTTTTTAAAAAACAAAAATCGAAAATAAGCACCTTTAAAAACGCTACGCACCATGACCATTTACAGTTACAAAAAAAAGTAAGAAGAGTGCACAGCAAATTATATTTAACGAATGAAGCGGCTCACGTGAGAGCCTTTAAAATAAATGTAAAGCCGTGCTAATAATTCGTGCGTCACCGGTAGGATTCGAATTCCTGTACTCACGAACACGAGTTCAACCAACCAGGCTACACTGTTGTTGAATTGATTATTATTTAATTAAGGTGACAACGCTGCTCTTTAATTAACTTTCTCCTCATTGTAAACTTTGTATTCTTTTTTCTAACGAAACCAATCTTCTTTCAGAAATCGGAGTTCAGAATTGAGATTTAAAATATTTTTCGGAAGAAAGCCGCAGAAAAATAAATTTCGGCTCTCAAGAGCAATGGAGTCAGTTCTTAAATCATTCGTTTGTAATACTCCTTATTAATAATTCCTTACAAGCAATAAGACCAGCATAAATTTGTCTTAAAGACAAAGTATTTATGAAATATTTTGGAATTAAAAAAAATTGCAAAATGGGGCGCTTTTGTCACCTTTTAATAAAATTAAACTATGGCAGCATTAAAAATTTACTTCCTTATTTTCACCATTCCTTAAAGTTTTCTTTTTTACTGCTATTCTTTTTAATACTGGAAAGGCATTAGTTTTAGTTAAAGAAAATTTACTTTAAAATTTTTTGAATGTTAAAAGATTAAATATTACGATACCTTAAATTAGTACAGGGTGCGTAGCCAAATCTTTCAACAAAAAATAAGCACCTTTTAAGCATTAAAAGAATATTTTTAAGCACTATATGAATTAAAAAAAATGCAAAATAGTTTACGAAGACTTCAGATGATCATGATAAAATAACTAGTTTCTCATAAAGAACTCTTTTCTCGATTATCGAGAGATTTTTCGGTTTTCAAAGGGTGGAAAACAGAGCCTGAAATTGAGAATATCTTGTAAAATGCAGCAGCAGAGTTGCACACGAGAGTGCAAGAATCTCACCGAAACCAGCTCAGTATACGTGCCCGCAAGTATTTCATCAAACATGTNGTCCCTGCCAAAAAAGTGACTTTTTCCACAATTGAAGGGACGAGACGTAGGGGACGACCACCTACAAGATGGATAGACGACGTTGAAAAGGACCTCAAGCTGTTGGGAGTCAACCGATGGCGGGCCGTCGCACCGGACAGGGCCAGATGGAGGAAAATCTGCGAGTCAGCCTTGGCCTGTGAAAGGCTGTTGCGCTTATGAAGAAGAAGAAGTTTCTGATAAAGAACTCTTTTCCCGATTATATTAGATCGAGAAATTTTTCGGTTTTCAGAGGGTGGAAAATGAAGTCCGAAATTGAGAATCTCTTGCAAAATGCAGCAGCAGAGTTGCACACGAGAGTGCAAGAATCTCACCGAACCCAGCTCAGTATACGCGCATACGGGCCCCGCAAGTATTTCATCAAACATGTAAAATGATAGGTGCTTTCATACGTTAAAGATCGACGGTACGCCGAAATGCATTGTGTTTGAATCAATTGCGAAAACGTTGAATAAAACAATGTGAAAACCACGTTTTTGCATAATACGTGGCCAAAATCGACATGGTAATAAAAAATCTCATTTTCGAAAAGGGAAAAATCAGCAATTTTTAAAAACACCCAATAAAAAAGCACATTTAAGGGCTTTTTAAAAAACGAAAATTGAAAATAAGCACCTTTAAGCACTTTTTAAAAACGCTTCGACCATATAGTACCTCTACGAATTTTAATGTTATAATTTCTTTACGGAGTTCTTTTAATTTATTTTTTGATTGAAAGTCAGCAAGGAATTGATGAATTGGAGGCTGTAGATAATGCACCATTAACTATGAGGTTAGTTACATGAGCAAAATGTAAGTTTTTATTTCTGTGGCTTGATAATCATTTTTTTATTAGGGGCAGGGGAGAAAGTGAGAATCTGTTCAAATGCTTAAGCATGTTTATGGTAATTTTGAATCACCCACCACCATGTCAAGAAAAATATGCAGAGCCCAATTCCCTTGCACTTTGCTTTAACTTCAACTTTTACTACAGTACTCAAATTTCAAGAACATTAGGTTTAAATTTAAATAAAAGATGTAATTTAGCATAAAAGATGCAACTTAGAACAAAATTAACATTTTAATTCATTACATACTATTATGAGCAGAAAAGTTTTCAGCTCAACAGAGTTAAACAGAACAATTGAAGCATAAAATGATTTAAATTTAATACACAATCATCCAATCAGATGGTGTCCAAGATTGTTGCAGACATTTTTTCATATCTTTTACGGCATTCCTTCTTTCGTATTCCGTTCGACTTGGAATGAATCTTGGGTCACTTTTTTTATCTATTCATTTAGCATCCTGCATGCATTTCAGCACGTTTCAAAGTTCATTTGCTGATATGTCTTTAATTCTTAATAAATCTCTTGTGTGTTTTTTTTTTACCTGTGGTCAAAACTATTGCCCAATGAAACCGATTAAAGAATTTTCTATCAACTTTTTACTTCTCCTAATTTACCCAGGGGTGATTGCGAGTCCAAGTCGAAATTCCGAAAAATTTCTTGAGATTAAAAAAAAAAAAAAAAAAAAAAAAAGAACAGTTCAAATTGAAAAATTAGGAAAACATTTAAACAAGTTTTTTTTCTTTCTTTTTCTCAATATTTCCTAGTTTACTTAAAATATCTTAAAAATTTTACACATACCTATGATGACCTGGAGAAGTAATTAAAATTTACAAATACGTCTTTCTTTCTTGAATTTATGATTATAACAACTATTTGCTTATAAAGTATCTCTCTGGCTCTCCCTTACAAACAAATAAAATAAACTGTGTTTTTAAGTTCCACCTTTGAAAATTTGATTTCCGGAATTTTCTGTGATCAATGATTATTTTGAAATGTCTGGACCTCGATCTCCGGAAACTTCCGGATCACTGTTAGCGAAAATTCCGGAAATCTGGATTTTTTCCGGAGCACAATCAGCCCTGATTTACCTATTAGCTTTTATTTCAAATTTGACATTTTTAAAAGTGTATTTTTTGTTCAATTTTTGGCTTTTTTTTGCAACTTAAAAATAAGCAATCTTAGTGTCGTACATAAGTAATGTTCATACCCTCTCTCCTCCACTTAGTCAACAAATATACTTACGTGCTTACGTAATATTTGTACGGCCCTTGGAAAAATTGTAACATTACAAAAAAAAGATTTTTTAAAATATAATACTAGAAAGAAATTAAGAGGATTATCAATCACCCCCACAATTTTTTTTTTTAATTACCTTGTTCAAAAATACTTTTATAATGAAAAACATTTCCTCGCTTGCATTTCGACAAATGAAAGACGGTATTTACCAGGTCCCCGGGGACCAGCGTCTATCAACATCAGAATGAACCATCTGACCAAATATTTTCGGATAAACCCCGCGGGTTATGGAAGAAAAAAAAAAGAAAGAAAGAAAAAGTTCGACGCGGGAGAGAACGAACGAAAAGCTAGTCCATCGAAAATGCAAAAAAGTTGGAAATCTTACTATTCCTTCTTTTTCCCACACCGACCATGCAGATCTAGATTTCGATCCATTAGCAGTGTATTTCCCAAGGTGACGTACTGTTCCAACTACGCAATACATCAAAACATACTTCCGTTTCTCTACGGGATTTTATGCACCGCTGGTGCGGCAAATAATGTCTCGAAAGCAGCACAAGCCCCCCTCTTTTTTTTCTTCTTCTTCTCTAGTTTGCGTGTGCTCGAACCATCCAACTTTTATATATATTTTTTTATTTTATTCAGAATGCTTTCAAGTTCGTGTCCTGATAGAGTGCCTGCGATGTGCAAATGTCGAGAAAACTTTTGTGGGGGGTATCGCTGGACTTTGGGAAAGCAATTTTTTACGATATGCGCTTTTGTGGTCACTCGTGACGTTGGACATTGAAGGGTATTCTGGATTTGGCAAACTAACTACGAATGCGGCGAGTTATTTTGTATCTTTTGAAATATGGGTGGCATATAAGCGAAGGATTTTGGGATATCTAGATATCCCGTATGTCAGTTGGACAAAAAGTTTTCCCACAAGTAAACCTTGTGAGATCTCACCAAATAGTTACAGACACTTTATTTGACGGTTACGTGCGATTTAATATTTGGAAATGCATTTTATTTTTCAGGAAATTATTAAAATTCTATTCTTTATAATTGCGATGAGTTACTTTGTAGAGTATGGAAGAAAAAGGTAACGTATAAGAGAGGGATATGCGGACAAAAAGTTTTCCCAATAGTAAAACTTGTGAGATC